AGCCCCGCGCCCGGCGGCCGCGGCCTCCCCGCCGCGAGCGTTTCCGGGGGAGAGACGCGCCTGCCGTGCCGCCGACACACGCTATGCGGAAAGCCGAGCGGGGCGCGCCGGAGGCGCCTGTAACCTTTCTGTCTCGCGGTGCCGGGTGCTTGGCAGGCCTGTCGCAGATGCGCGATTGCAGCAGGAGCCCCTGGTGAAGTAAGCCCCGCTTTGGCCCCGCATTGAGTTCCAGCAGCAGCGCCCAGGATCACTCACTAGTCGGGACTGCGATCCTGAAAAAATCTAAAAGATTTCTTTCAGGAATTTCCTGCTGTGCTTTTTGCCTGCATTTGGGAGCGTGGAGGAACCGCCACACTGTGGTGGCTGGTTAAAGTTAAGACACACCTGTCTTCCCTCCCTAAGCCTGAATTCTGCCGACAGACCCGTGTGCGAGAATGACTTGGGTGCTGTTTGAAACGAGGCGGCTAGGCGATCGCAGACAGCAGGTCAGGTGTGGATTCACCCGACGTGTTAGTGCCCAAAACATTTTGGATTCTCATTTAGGGGATGTTTAACTTGTACTTCAGGTACGAATTTGTGTTCCATTCGCAAAAGCTAGCACAGTTCTTTTGCTGAAGTACTTTGAGGAGGCCTCAGGTGGAGAATGTGGGCATTGTAGGGGAAGTGTCTTTTTTTTTTAAATTCTAGTATTATTTATGGAAAGGTCGAGTGTAGGTATTATAGCAAGAAAAATCATTCAGCAGCTGGGATGAACACTTGTTTTTTTAAAAATGTGCACAGTACTGGGGACTGAGTGCAGGAAGTGCTGTGCTAGGTACATCTTCAGCCCCCTGCCCTTTGCTCAGTTGGCCAGGCTGGCCTCAAACTTCAGACACTCCTGCCTCAGCCCTCCCCGTTTGTTTTCATTTAAAGAAAACTTGTCAGGGTTGCTTTGTTTTGTCCACCCTCTTCCATGGTCGGTGTTGGCCAGTATTAGAATGTATGGCGTGGGGTGGCATTGAAGATTCAAAGCCTTGGTCCACTGTTAACTCTGGTTACCTTAATAAAAGCAAGTTGCTTTCGTTATTCTAGTCTTTTATGTATGAACATGAAGCCCCATGAAACCTACCTTCGGAGCTTACTGTGTCCGTTGAGTGAGGTAATGAACCTAAGGACTAAAAAAGTCCACTGTTTAATCGTCTTTTCTTTATAGTTTCATTCTTTCATTGGTTGTGGAGTACTTTTTCTTTTTTCATAATTTTACTCCCAGAATAAGGTTTGATCATTTCTATCAGCCCTTTGGGAGGAAACAGTTACCCCACGGTTTTTATTTCTGTACCCTTTCACCCCTGCCAAACTACCTTTTCCGATGGCACACGTACCCCACAGCTTTTTGTCGCGCAGCGCTCACGGTGCATTAAAGGAATTTGCAGAGCTTGTTTGTGTACTTCTCTAATCAAGTTTAAAAACGTTAATTGGAAAAAAACCTTAAGTTTAGCATTAAGCATACTTCGCGTAAAATTGTAAGCTCTTACCTATTACAGTGCTCATCTGATGAAGCAAAACTGATATTCCTAAGTTGGCCATAAAGGAAAGTGAACAGTAGGAAACGGAAGAGAAATGTAACAAAACAGAGCTGAATGTTTCAATAACAAATTTCATTTTAAGCCGTCTTTTGCTACAGTATCATTCTCATGAAAATTGTATCCTTGGGAAGCCGGGGGTTTAATTCAGTGGCAGAGTGGTTGTCTAGCATTCAGGCCGCCCCGGGTTCCATCCCCATCACAATGGTGTGTATGTTATGTTTTATGTTTATAACTACACGAAACTCCATAGCTTGAAGTTTGCCCGTAGACTGCTGCGCTTTATCCTCAGCAGTTTGCTGCTGCCCCCTAGTGTTCTGTTGCCCTTGCAGTTTTCTTGAGATCTTTTCGCCTGCACCTGCTGCCGGTCTTACTGTGCACCATTTCATTTTATTTTATTTTATTTTATTTTTTGGGGGGGTTTTCTCCGGTACCGGGAACCGAACTCACGACCTTGCCCTTGCCAGGCAGCTGTGCACCATTTTAAATTACAGGGTGATTCTTCAGCACCATACACCTGGTCTACCCTTGGGGTTCTTCCAGCGGTTAGAGTGGTGAATTAAATGGACGTGGTCCTTCAGAGTTGATTCATTTTGATTATTTTTTCCCTTCAGTTTTTCCAAAGAAGGAAAAATTGGAGGTGGAGGTAGAAGGGGATAACATTAACAAGTTACTTTGTAAAAGCATATGTGGGTTTTTTTTCCCCCAAAAAATTGTTTAAAGGTGTATCTTTGAAATTAGTTTTTTATATGAATAATGACTTACTTAATCTGGGCTACTTGTCTTGAAAAGGGTGTTATCAACAATCAACCTTTGGCTGGATCTATGTTAACGATAGTTCCATATACCTGTATTGTTTCAGCTGTATTAATAATAAAGTTTCAAAATGTCAAATTCATATGGTGAGCTTTTACATTTATTTTGAGCTGTGACATGAATTTTTTTTTGAAAAAGTTTCAAGGTCCTTTTCATCCCAAAATTTCCTGTAGTTATTTATGTAAATGCTAAGGTTTCAGGTTATGCAAGTATTCAAATCTAACTTTTCCTTATTAGTTGCTATAAATTCTGTGAGTGGGCTCTCCAGTGACTTATAGTTTCTCTGAAATAAATACATTCTCAAACAGTAAAAGTTTACTGAAATATTTTAAAATGTATTCAGTAGGTAGTGAAGCAACTTATAGCAACACTGAAAATATTTCCAACTGTTGGGGACATCACACATGATATCCAGAAATGTAAAAACAACCCATTAATTTGTGATACCACACAAATAATTGTGAAGTGGTATTTTTCTGTTCCATCAGAACATAAGGCTGTTAGGCTGTCAATACACAGAGTTGGGTATTGAATAGACTTAATGTTAAAGATGTTAGAGAAGAAGCTAGTGGTGGTAACAGGTTTGTGCATGTGTAAGTATAAAATTTTAAGTGGCCTTTATCTTTACAGTCTACACAGTAGATTGTATAATTCTATAAATACTTGTGATTACTCATTTTTAAGATGTTTCACTGCTGAAAGAGAGGAAAGTGTCAGATGACACCAGTGCTCATGTTACTATTTCCGAGTCATAGTTTCATCCTTGACATGCGCCCTCCTTTTGGAGATGACCCATCCCAGTCAGAAAGGGTTTTAGGGATGAGAAAGTGAGTGAGAGTGCTGGAGGAAATAACCTTGTATTACTGATGTAGGAGGGTTTAGACCATGGGCCAGCAAACTGCGGCCCATGGGACAAGTTCACTCTGTGAGTTAAGCATTCCTGGGCAGTAGCGTCCTCATTGGTTCACGCATTGCCATCTCTCCTCTGAGCTCTGCTGGCGGGGTGAGTACATTGTCATGGATCCCACAGGCCCACAAACCGTTAGTTTTCTTACCGGACCCAGCCTGTGGGCCAGCCTGTTAATCTCCCATCCTTACTCCATACGTTGCTTTTGGTGACATTCCTCTAGGGCAGTGTGGTGGGCCTGTGGGACTCGTGCCGCAGCAGGCTGTTTGTATCCTTGAGCGCTCTAACAGGTTCGTCCTTACTGTTCTGGAACCTGCCTGAATAAAACCCTTGATAGCAGGGCAGTTGGTGAGCGCATGTGTGTGAGTTCTCAGGCGTTTACATTCCTCTTGGGAGGAGGAGGAACGTGTTTACATTCATCTTGGGAGGAGGAGCAGTTCTGTTTTCATTCCACTTCCCATCCCCACTTCCTTCCCTCCACCTCTAGGATCACCTTTCCTCATTTTCATTATTTTTGACTCAGCCTTTCTGTCGTTCAAATTGGTCTTGAGCTCACAGTGATCCTTCTGCCTCAGCCTCCCAAGTACTGGGAGAACAGGAGTGCGCCACCATGCCTAGCTTCCATTTTTCATTATTACCATAATATTGCTACTTTTAGCTCATACTTGCAGTATGCATGTTTGCGTTTGTGGGTATTTGGTACATGTACTTTTGTTTTTAGGCCTTCTCCCTGCCTCTGCCGCTTTTCCCTGTTTGCCTCTTCCTTCCCATCTTCGTAAAGCTTTTGGGGAGGAAAAAACTTAAATTTAGAAATCAAGAGAAAATGCAACACATAGGTTGCATTACGTGCACATGAAACATGTATACTGACAGGGAGAACATTGCAGTCAAACTGCACAGGTGTACCAATAGCTCTGAAAGATGCAGAAACTATGACCAAATTGTGTCTTGTGAAGCTCATATATTTGTAAAAACATTAAGACATCAGGGACACTTTTTAAAACAGAAACTGAAAATATACCATCATTTACTACCCCTCAGGACCTCCGG